GCATTGAGAATCATCAGTGGCTTCCAAATTAGTGATGCAAATTACAAGGAGGCATGGGACCTTCTTAGGGCTCCTTATAAAGTGTTGCGCGTTATTGTCGAAGAACACATTAGAGCTAGGGCGTCCTGTCGAGTTTTGGGACGACTGGTTGGTTCATGAGGTAGTTAGCAAATTGGCATTCGAAACAAGGAAGCAGAGGAAGCTATCACTCGAAAGTGATGAGCCGCCGACTTTCGAGCAACTTACGACGTTTTTAGAGATACGGTGTCGATCGCTATCGATGCTTTCCTCGACCACAAGTACAGTGCTAACTAAAGGGAGAATGACCTCAGTAGGTAAAACAGCGAATTTATTCCATGCGATGCAAGAGAATAATGCAGACTGTACTTATTGTAGCGGCCCCCATAAAATTTATAGTTGCGACAAATTTCGAAGTTTAGACGTAAATGCAAAATCAAAGTTCGTAAAGGAATCACGAGTGTGTGTGAACTGCTTAAGTCCGGGTCACTTTAAGGCTAAGTGTAACAGTGCATCTGCATGTAGGGTATGCAGCCAACGCCACCACACGCTGTTGCATAGTGTTTGTTTTGTGAACAATGCCACAACCACTGCTCATTTTGTAGATGATACGTCTCATGTGCCCCCACACTCTGTCGCCGTCGATGCCGCACCAAACGCGAACGAAAATGTTTCATCCGCTGTTAGTCCTCCAACGGACCCCGCCGCTGTACGTGTTTCACCATGCCTGAAATACAGCTCCAACCCGCCGCAACGAACAGAAAGGTTAGTACTATTGTCCACCGCGTGGGTAAAGGTCCACGATTGCGCCGGTCATTGGCAACCCGCCCGTCTACTGTTTGATTCCTGGTCGCATGCCTCGTTTGTAACTGAGGCGTGCGTGCAACGCTTGGGTCTACCGCGAACATCATCCAACGTGCTTATTACGGGCATTGGGTCAACACAAGGAGGTCGATCCAGAGGTGAGACAGTACTAACGCTTTCTTCTTTCTGTTCCAATCGACGCTTCACAGTAAACACACTAATTTTGCCGAAAATAACGAACGACTTGGACGTCATGGACCAGCTCGTTTTCTCGAAACTTCGCAAAGGTCCGTCTGGCACGCCAATGACCCAGCGAACACTCTTTGGTTGGACGTTGTTTGGGAGTGTCGATGGCTCTCATCCCGCTACGCCCCGTGTGCAATCGCTGCATTGTGAGGTGACACTGGAAAGGGCGCTAACCAGGTTAAGGGGACTGGAGGAAGCTCCACAAAAAACGCATCTAACACACGATGAGAGTTTCTGTGAAAACCATTTCGAGTCAACGCATTGAAGAGCTTCTGATGGTCGATTTATAGTTGAGCTGCCCCTGAAATCCGATGTACCGTTGGGGGACTCGCGAACTTTCGCCGTTCAGAACCTGATACGCCTCGAAAGACGACTCGCCCGCGATAACGACTTGCGTGTACGTTACAATGAGTTTATGCAGGAGCTCATTGATATGCGTCATATGGAGCCTGCATCCAAAAATTCGAATCCAGTCTATTACATGCCGCATCATCCAGTCGTAAAAGAGTCAAGTCGTAAAAGAGTCAGGGGTCGTATTTAACGCATCTGCCAAAAGCGCTACTGGAAACTCGCTCAACGACGCGTTATTTGTCGGACCCCAGCTGCAGCAGGATTTATTTTCCATTTTGACACGTTTTCGTACTCATCGGTACGGTGTTACGGCTGACGTCGCAAAGATGTACCGTCAAGTCTGCGTCTCCCCGAAACATATCGATTTACAACGGATCGTCTGGCGTCGTGACCCCTTACTACCGATACAAGACTACCACATGTTGCGCGTGACCTATGGAGTAGCAGCGGCATCACACCTAGCTGTAAAGTCCCTTCAACAGACCGCAAGGTACTCGTCGAACAGTTGTCAGAAAGCCGTTGCTGTCATACTAAACGACTTTAATATGGACGTTTTGCTCACTGGTACATCGTGTAGAGAAGAACTTCAGTCGCTGCAACAAAACGTTTCCGAAATACTTAAGGAAGGTGGTTTTGAACTAAGAAAGTGGGCGTCGAATTGCGCGAAACTAAATAAAACTATTTCGAACTCGTCCGAATCTATACCGCATTACATCGTCGATGGGAAAGATGTTCATGCGTTGGGCCTAATATGGAACACGGACGAAGACCATTTCACATTTGCAGTAAACCTGAAGAGACTGCCCGTTAATTTGACTAAAAGAGCGTTTTTGTCCGATCTCAGCACACTATTTGATCCTCTGGGACTACTTGCTCCAGCAACCATACGTTCCAAGATGTGGTTTCAGGACATTTGGCGCGTCAACTTTGGCTGGGATGACGTTATTCCTGACTCCGTCGCCACAAAGTGGTCAGAACATCGCACAGAGCTGCTTCTTCTTTCAAACTTTAAAGTAAATCGGTGGCTCGGCACCGGAATAACTGGGTCAGTTACGGAACTGCATGTGTTCGCCGACGCCTCAGAACGCGCTTACGCCGCCGTAATGTATGCGCGCACCTTACAAAAAGATGGCACGGTGACAGTTTCGTTGATCTCGTCGAAGACAAAGGTGCGCGGCGCACCTCGCTGCTAAATTGGTGCGGACCGTATTGCGTAG